AGCGTTTTTGTCCGATGTGGGTAGTTGTTTATATTATTTAAAACTGTGTGCATAAAACCACTCTCGTTGGTCTCCTAAAGATGCGTCAAAAACCATATCTTCCTTTTTAAATCTAGTAATTTTCTAGTGACATCCGGGTAAGGCACCAATCACAAAGAACCGCTACTCTCCATCTGGCCCGGACTGCAGTTGGAAGAGATTTTAATATCCCATTGTGTCGTCCTGATTATTGTGGTCAGCTCACTATGTTTCCACTTCCACTGTTCCTACTTCGTTGTACCGTCCGTACCGTGTTGGTCGTATGTGCCATACTATTTACTATCAACATGGCACGGATTTTTAGCGTGCAGTCTGGCAGTATTCCCATTAGCTACTGACAATGGAAAGTACACACTACTTCTATATAATAAGAAAGTCAGTCAAACCCCAATAATAACTGCTGGGTAACTGTGTGGCAACACTTTTAGCTGAAATTTCTATTGCTGTGTCGCGAGCCATTAACAAAAGCAAAAGGTCCCTGAGATACTACCTCAGAAGTTTACTTGATATAGTTATACTTAAAGCGTTCGCGATGTTAGGTTACAGGGTCCTTTGCAAATCAGGATGAATCGCGAAGTTTTGGCACAAGTCAATACAAATGCTTACTGCCAGCATTCACACCCTAAATGTGACCCCATCATGCTTCCCAAACACTTAATAGTCCGCTCAATATAGCTTAATACGTGTAACTAGAAGTGACTAAGAGCATCTAATGGGTATTTGTCACACCAGCTCGTTTAATGTACGGTATATGCATGTTACCTCTGCTTTTTTGTTGTTTTTTATTCACTGTAAGGTAAAGTCAGATAAAAAATGCAACTGTAAACCTAATGACTGCTGGGTTCTTTTTCATTTTTAAGAAGCTAAACCAGATGAACTTTTAATGTCACAGATTTATAACTGCACATGCATATGGAGTGTAGGCAAACAACTTCCTAAACAGACCTAGTCCTAAAGAATGACCCTTCATAAACTGCTTAGTCTTATGCGATTCCAAATTCTAGAGGTCCAGGACTGGTGGTGTCGATCAAAGCAGCAATGTTACCAATAACCCAATAACATGGTTACCGAGAAACAGCTTTCGAAAGATGATCTGAAGCTTGTAAGACGAGACATTTGTAAGCAGAGTCCAAAAACTGGAAAGCCCGGAACCTTCAAAACAGATTAGTACTGCCAGTCGTAATTGATCCTGATATGAACGAGAATTATATTCTGACAAAGTCGAAATGAATCACCGTTAGCAACGAAAAGTAGGAAGGCATTAACGTCTATTCTTGGGGTACTGCCCATCAAAAGTCGGCCATACTATAACCTAAAAGCGGGACACCCGAAGTTCGAAGCGGAGGTTGGTTCAGGGCTTTCCCCGCTCAAGATGTGGGACTTCTATCTTGCCGACCACTAGTAGCAAAGTCACGTTGAAAGGACGTCTGTGAACATATCTTTACAGCAGGATAGAAATGGTGAACCGATACGTGAAAATAAATCGCGCATGCCTCCCTCTATATATAGGCAGAAATATGTTACGGACAAGACAAGGAAGACTAGATTAACCGTTTCTGGCTTATTATCTGTGATCAACCAGTCATACCAAACCCCAGGCGTTACGGCACCCGACAATCGAACCCATGACATTGAAGTTAGAAGTCCAAGGCGCTAACCAGTGTGGCACATGTTCGTTGCCTTCCCGGTTTTGACTGGGAATTTACTCAGTATCAGATAGACGCTCACCATTAGATTATGGAATTCATTCGTCCCGTGGTGTTTTGAAGTTCGTTGGCGAGCACCGCCAACAGCCGCTCCACGGCTAGCGTATGTTATAGCTGTATATGGCTGGCTGGTTGGCTGACTGATGACAGATAATAAGTCAGAAATGGCCATTTCAGCATCCCTTTTCTTTCCATTAATGCATTTCTGCCTATAATATACAATAGCCTTTGAGCAGCTGCTGGCTGAGCTTGAGAGCAAGGTCCATGGCACAAGGGAACGAGTGAGTTCCGTAACCAATCGGTGAGCACCCATTTACCATTATAAAAATTGAGGTCAGCTTACAACCTGAGAGTCCAGAGGATCATTTTGTGGCAGTAGTAAATTTTAGAAACAATTTACTCACTCACTTTAACCCTGTTTTCACCTTTGGTTGAGTTAGTATCGGTGGCTGGATTGTAGTTGAGTGATGACGGTTTACAAAGCAGTGTTTCCCATCTCTATCGACAATACTTTTCGAACCCGGACTGTTACTTGCTGTAGTATGATGCATTTCACATTCACTTATCGCAAAATGCCTTGTTTTTGAGTTATTTCACTAAGACCGACTAGCTTTGTAAGCTGCGCAATTTTTGGTTAGTCTAATACCTCTTCAATCATTGAAAACAGTAATGAAACTAAGAAACGACCACATAAGCGTGACTTCTACGAGTTATCGTACTGCAGCAGGCTGAACAGAAAAGGCACATGAATTTCATAAGCGAACGCGAGTGCTACATGTTCTATTTAAATGAGTAAAGATCGGGGAACAGTTACAACACGATAAAATAAGTGTTTGGCAATTACTCCTTGACACAGCGGAACCAAGAACACTTGCCACTGCAGCAATCACCGTCAAACCAGCATATAGCCTGCTCCGGAAGACACTTCACGCACTTTCCATTGCCAAACCACGCTAGGTCACAAACCAGCTGATCGCAGCATCTCTGAAAGATGGTTTTACTGCAGGCTTCGCCCTCCTTCTGACAGTTGTCGTCGGCTAAAATGGACATTTAAGGAAATACATGGTTAAAGGCTTCATCAAACGCAAATAAGGGGTCTGGGCTCACCGTCAACTATTGTACGGTGTAAAAGTTGAAAGTATTGTGACCCTAAACACATTCACCCACAACGATGAAATAAGATTAGGAGCGTTGGGTGGAGTTCGGTGAACGGAATTTAAGATGCTGGGATGGCTAGGTTTGTGAAATGAAGCGACAGTGTGGACATTGTAGTCTATCAGAAAATAGCTAATCTTCATCTCACGATGTGTATATCCTTCACTAACGCCTCTCTAGAAACCTAAATTTATTAATTTGCCAAGAGCTATTCATTTTAATTGACCGTAGGATAGACCGAGCCAGTGGATTTTGTGAGAGAGAGAGAGAGAGAGATAAGTTAGAATTATCATGTTTATTTTCAGCCAAAGCAACCAACAATCACCGTGAATAAAAAGGAGTACACAAAACGGACAACACCAGAAGATCGCAAGCCTTACATGATGGCCAAAAGCTGTAATACAGAACCATGTGAAAAAAGAGTATACAGTCTGGGCATTACAAGCGAAAGGAAATAAAAATAAAAAACAAAGTTTATAAAAGTAGAAAAAAGCTGGGATAATTATTTACATGCTCTAGTGTTTGTCAACAACAAAGTGCGCCATAATTAAAACGTGCAAATATGCAATAATTGGAAATAAATAAATTAAAAAATTACTAATAAAAACTAAATCAACTAAAGACGTAAGCTTAAGTGAGCTAAACTGAATTTACTTTAAAAATAATCTGAATCTAAAATAAAAATAGCACACGTAATAATCAATTAAAAATAAAGTGAAAACTGAAATTAAATATAGATAAGTTAAGTAAACCAAATAAAATAGACTAAAGTGAAGTTGTTGCACATCCAAATTGAAGGGGTGCGCGGCGCTTCGCGCCACGAACTATACTAGTCTAGCTCCAGAACAGTAAGTTGGACGCCAGATAAGTTGAAATAGACGACTTTCTAACCAACAATTTTTTCAGGAATATCATGAAACCCGATGAACTATAAAATAAAAGTAAGCTTAAAATGTCCAAAATTGTCAAGCACAATTGTCACGTCAATATATAAGCAATATAAACAAGTAAATTTCTTTGTCTATTTATAGCGCGTTACCTTGTCACGAAGGCTCCAGATTAGTTAAACAATTTCTGGGACCAAAACTAGGATTTTACCAAAAAAACCATTCATATGGAAAGCAGACAAATTATGTGAAGATAATTACTTTACTGTCCTTCCGCTTTGACAGCAAATTTTCTCCCAAAACCTTTTAAAATCCTCTTAGCTATTTACTATTATCAAAACGAAACTGAAAACAAATGGAGAAGAGTTGAAGAAGACAGTTACGTTATTTCACGGTCGTAAGTAGAGCTATGGAGAGGTACTTCGAATTCTTAATGTTACGAATGTACCCATTTTCACCATCCTGGGAGATGCACGTGTAACTCTGGACAGGAAACAGTAGCGTCTTATTGACCAGTGCAACAAATCACAATAATATATCTTCGATGATTTCAAACATGTCCATTTAGCATTAAAAGGTTTTTGATCTCACCCGTAGCCGAATTCACAAGCAACAGTGCAAAAACCAGCAAAGATGACAGCAGCATCGTAAGCCTTGCGCTGTAATATGTGCCATAGTTTTTATACGACAGCGCATGGTGACCTAAAGGTAATTTTGCATCCTATTGGTTTCTTTAAGTTAGCTGCTGATCTGTATCTGCGCCTGACGGATAATGGCCAAAGTTGCATCATGTGTCCACACCTAGTCCGACTGACAGTCATGTGCCGTTGGTTCAACGGTTGTCGAAAGGAGTTTAGACATTTTCATAGTGTATACGAATGAGAGGCCTTACCGAGGTCTAAGCCGCAAGTTAGACGAATTCTGCCATAAATTAGCCCCCACCCCACTAGTTATGCGGCAATTTGTAATGGAGTAACTGAATGTGTTTTGGTCCCCTTTTTGTCTGAAGTCCGCGCCCCATGGAAAAGTACATATTTCGGGCTAATTAGTTGAGGCCGTGATGAGTCAAAAAGAGTATTTGATCACTGTTCAGTTTTTGCCTTCTTCGAAAGGGCCTAGGCAGTGAGCTTGACAAAAGTTATGAGCAGATGCATATAATAGATTAGACACAATCAAAGGAGCAGCTCGTCACACAGCTGAACATATGCTACATTTTAGGAAGTTCAACGTTAGGTAAATGGTAAATTTTAAAGTAAGGGTTAGGCTGAGAGACACGTTTCGGGTTAATGTTCAGTTAGGCTTTGAACACGCGAATACTCACCCTTCCTGGAGTTTGGCAAAATGATATCTCTATTAGTAGTAGGGTTTTTCCCTGTGTCATTGAGATTGCTCATAACGTGAATTGCATTCTCGATTTGAATCCCCTGAGAACCCGAATTCCGTTCTTCTCCGCTTTTCGCGCCGATCTTTGTTTTTTAAAGAATCTCGACGATTGACACCATATAAGGTAAACTATAAACTTGGCACCAGGGGTGCCGATTGTGAATCCATCAGGACTATTAATTATCTTGTGTAAAGGCCCTCGGAATGTTATGTTCTATCTTAAATCCAAAGAGTTAAATTCCAACTATTATTTTAAATACAGGGGCTGACCCAGAATAATTTGTCTGTGCAACGTTACGGCAATTTACTAGCTGTAAGAGGTTTGACCCCACCAAGATTTTACTCAATAAGCAAACAATATTTGTCATAGTCACAACATGTTACCTTATACAAGCACATTTGTAATCGAAAATTTTCCGTAGACGAGTTCAGAATTCTTCATCGTGTTGGCAAAGCTTACGGTAAGAAGCAACAAATGACCTAAATCCAATCAAAAACCATTTTGCAATTGTCGAAAGCCTTTGGTATAAAGTCAAAAAGAGTCTTTTCATGGATGAAAAAGTGGATTATGTCCTTAATACCCACATTGCACAAACAACTATCGTAATTTTGCGACGTCCATGTCCGATAGACTTACTGCTATTTTAAATGTTAATGGATGTCACACGAAATATTAAATGTTGTATTTGTGAATGAATGCAGGTGTTTCACCGATCTAGTCAAGGAACAATTAAGTTC